AAACAAAAAAAACAGATGGATGGATGGATAGTAGGTGTGGGCAGGTTAGAGAAGAGCAAAAGGGAAAGTCAGGGAAAGAGTATCTCCTGCCCCAGAATGGTCAGTTAGCTGAAAATGTTTATGAATTTTTAAGAACATGCAATGTGGAACCTGCGTGTGACCATTAACCTTACAGGTGCATACACACATACTTCGTTTTTTCTCTCTTGTCCAGCTGTTGTGTTGATTGTTCATTCCATTTGTTTATACTCTGCTGTTGTTACCTACAACAGGTGGGAGATTTCCAAGGTTTTAAAGTCTTTTCCCCATCACACCTTAAGGAACATGCCAGGCCCCTGTATACCTGGGTGTTGAAACCATATCAGGGGCTCATCCTCATTCCCTGATCTGGGCCACATGATTCAGGAAGTGCCTCTTGCTTTCTGGACAGGAAGACTGAGCTGGCATAAAGGTGTGATAGGTTGAGGTTCATCAATCTTGGGGTTTTTTGTTTGTTTGTTTACTCCTTTACTGTTATCTTTTCCCCAAAAAGGTGCTTCCTCATTCCCAAGGAGATGAAGGAGGACAAGATTTTATGCTGGAGCCACCATTTGGTTCTCCTTCCCCTAGCCCAGAGCCAGGGAACAGAAGTGACACATAGGGATGATGGATGGAAGAAAGGAATGGATGGATAGAGAGGACCAGAGAAAGTAGGATCAGGAAGGCGCTACTCCAAGCAAAGCCCCATTCCTTCCAGTCTTACCTCTGGGGCTAGGAGAGGCATGACTGACCATTGAGGCCAGGGTGGTGCCCAGCTGGGTCACAACCCTTTGTGGGATAGTCTAATAAACATCGTGGATTCTCAGCACCACTGGTGCCTAGTGTTTCCAGGCTTCTGTGGCCACAGACACCTCTTGGTCTTCTTGGCCTTGGTTTCCCAACACACCGATGGTGGCAGGAAGGGGTAGGGGAGAAAAGCATCCCTGTTCCGGGAGCCTCACAGGCTGTATCAGGAGAGCAACCCCCTGGATTGGAGGCAGGTGGATCCCAGACATGGCTAACCCACATATCATAGATGCTCTTGTTGAGTGGCATCCCCTGGAAAAGGGCATCTAGATCCCAGAACAACCCTGAGGGGCCATAGGTTTCAGGGGCCAACCCCTAGTAGGCTGGGCCAATTGAAGGTGGGCATGGGGACAGGATATGGGTAGTACTGGAACCAAGAGCATTATCACATTGGGAGTGTAGATGGGCAAGTTGGAGGTGGGCAGCTGCCCCCAAAGTGAAGGCCTGTGACTCCCACTGGACAGCCCCCCAGGGTCTGGGGTACTCTGCAGTAAGTGGAAGGAGCAGACTCTATGCTCAGGGGAGAGGGTGCAGGCCTCCTGGTTCCCCTCTGGGAAGTCTCTCCCTCTGCTCTACTGAGCCCAGGGAGGGGGTGAAGGGGCCACAGGGCCTCTCAGAGGGCAGCACTGGAGTGGGCACCACCTCCTTCCCACTGTGCCCAGAGCCAGCTGGACCTGGGCTGCTCCATGGTGCCCTCTCCCTGGTGTCCCCTAGCAAAGACTTTATGCTAACGCCCTCACTGGGCGGTGGCTGGGAAGTGGGGAGCCGGTATCACCAGCTGTGCAGCATGTAGGGGCCCAGGTCCTTGGCAAAGGCTCCCCACAAGCCCCTGCTCTGCCAGCCCCAACACGGGGCCAGGTTGTGCAGCCCCAGCCCCTCAGCTAGGATCAGGCTCATGACGACCGCCCAGAAGTTGCCCTTGACCTGGAGCTTCCCAGGATCTTTAGGCACCTTGCGGGAGCATCAGTTTGAGGAGAGGTTGTGGCAGATGGAATCCTTCTAGCCCTACGGTAGTCCCTGAAGAAGGGGAATGTGGCCCGGACCTGATGGATGATCTGGGCCAGCTTCAACCTGTGGGAGGGTGCAGCCTGTACCACCCAGGCAACCATGGCCAAGTAGGTGTAGGGGGGCTTGTTATGCCACAGGTATCTCTGTTTCCTCCCCATGGGGGCTGGGAAGACAACTCCAACCTGGGAAGCCCCAGGCCTGGGTCACTGCAGGTCCCCATACAGGGGAGGCAAGCGGTGTGGGCAGGGGCCTGGCCCTGTGGAGGGTGCAAGGCAGCGTGGCAGTGTGGTGAGGCAGGGCTGGGGGCCTGAGGCCCAAGGTTCCTCCATTTTTAGAAGGAACTTCACTGGTTATAGACTTACAGAGCACTTCTGTGCTAACTTCCTCATTTTTTAGACAAAGAAACTGAGGCCAGAGGGTCAAGTGGCTTGCTCAGAGTCACACGGTAGTTATTGTGATAGCCATGATACAATGTTCGGGAGCCCTGAATCCCTGTCCAGTGCTCCTTCCCTCTCTTTAACTCACTGCGGCCCATTAGTGAAAACTAGCATTGTGCTTAATAGAGCACAGACTCTCAAGCTATGCTTCAAGGATTTGAATTCATCTCTTCTACTTACTCTTCTTGTGACCTTAGGCAGGTTAGTTCGTTTCTTTGTGCCTCGGTATTTCCATTTGTAAAATGGGGCTATTGGGAAAATCAAATGAGTTAATATAAGTAAAATCCTTAGAACAGTGCTTAGCACACAATAAGTACATTATCATTGGTATTATTAATTAGTCAGCCAATGAGCAAGGATTTGTTGATCATTTATCATTTTATATTGCCCGCTTCTATACCTTGGGGACCTGTGTGTCTTCTCAAAGCCAATCATGCCCTCCAAATCTTTTGTTAGGCACACTTCTGCCACCAGACACACAAGCCCAGTGATAAAGGCCTCTGAGGTTGTCACTAATGCACTGCTAACTGCTCTTGATCAGCATGTTCTGCCCAGTAAGGACCCAGAGAGTGGTCGCCATGCCTGGATCTTTAAACCCCAGCTTGGTGATGTGAATGTCATGGGGACACATTCTGGATCTCAGCTAAATTCAACATTTCACTCCCTTTTTCTGCCAGGCTCATCACCCCATCCCAGTAGGAGAACAGATGAGCATTTTGCCTACCCAGAAATGGATACTTGTTACATTATGGTAGCTAAAGGAATGGACCTTGCTGGCATTTGGACTGGAAAAGAGGCCTGAACTGATCCCTGTAATTTGCTGCCCTGTGGCATTTAAGGCAGATGGTCTTATAATTTTCTTCCTTTTTCTCTTATGGTTGGCTTGTTTCAGTGAAGAAACCACAACCCCAAAGCCATAAATTTTCCTTTTATGAATTATAGGTAATTATTTTAAACATTATTTTAAAGAAAACATAACAACCACATAGAATGTTCAGAAGAAAAAAGAAAAATCACTGTAATCTCACTACCCTACCATATCCTGTTTTCATTTTCTCTACCTCCTCCTCAAACTTTTGATCAAACTCATGTATATTTTAGAATCTCATAGAGACAACTTTATATCTTGTATCTGAAACATTTGCGGTGTTGCTATGGTCTTTGGGATGGTTACTGTTAATGACTTAGTTAAGTAGGTATACCATTGATTGGAAAAGTGATCTCCCATTGTTCAAAGCTTCCAGGTATTTTTTTTTTTTTTTGGTTTTAGTTTTAGTTCCAGTTATTATATGTGAGCAATTTCATGCTTGACTTTGAAAATCTCTTTATTCTGACATAATTTCAGATTTACCTAAGAGTTGCAGTGATAGTACAGAGAGCCCCACCGGCTCTTTACCTACCCCGAGTGTGAACATCTTACATAACCACCAAATAATTATCAAACCCAGAAAATTAACATTTGTACTCTGTGATTGACTAATCTAAGACCTAATTTGAATTTCACTGGTTTTCCAGCTAATGTCTCTTTCCTGTTCCCAGGATCCGGTCCAAGATCCCACATAGCATTTAGTTGTGTCCTTAGTCTCCTCCAGTCTGAACAGTTCCTCAGTCATTCCTTGTGACCATTCTTTGTCTCATGACCATTACTCTTTTGAAGAGTGCTGGCCAGTTATCATGTACAATATCTCTCGGTCTGGGTTTGTCCAGTGTTTTCTAATGATTGGATTGAAGTTATGCATTTTTGGCATAACCACGGGGGTGATAGTCCCTTTTGTCAGCATCATATCGGGAAATATTTGATAGTGATGTGACTGATTACTGGTGATGTTAACTTTCATCCCTGACTTTGAAGCTCTCTTGGAATGTTGCTTAAGGAGAGATTCCAGAAATGGGATTCCTGCCTCAGAGGATGTCATACTAGCTTCTTGTCCCTTTTAGTTTTCTTGGTGGCAGGCAGAATAAGGGAACAATTAAGACCTGTGAAATGCTACCAGCCTAAAAATATCATTAGGGCCCAGGTTGGGGAGATCTTTGCAAAAGTTAGGAAAAGTATGCTGTAAAAACAAAACATCTAAATGGAGCTGTGTGTTGATGAACCTTCGGCCTCATCCTGTAGGTTGATACGTATCTTACCACTAGATGAATTATCTCTTTATGCATTACAGAAAACTCTTTTAAAGATTATTTTAAAGCAAACATAATAACAACACTATACATGGTTATATTAATATAGTCAAGTCCGGTTACAAACAGCACTGATGGTCCTCCATGTAATCCAGTAGGTGTCAGGCTGACTTCATCATTCAGCTTCATTCGTGGGTGTAACTTCCTCATCATTTGTTATTTATTTAACATAGCCATCTGTTGGTATCTTTGACAAGTCAGAAGGTGTGTTGGCCATGTTCCTCTTGATGTGACCAGACTGACTTTGCCCCGTAGAGCAAAAATTGGCTGGCATTAGTGGCCATACAAGGCTTCAGAACTACCTATCTCTCAAGAAAGATACAGATTGACAAAAATAAGCTCTCACATGCAGGTTGGTAGAGTGGAAGGACCTTGGGAACAGCATGTCTGCTCTCCCTTCTCCCTAAGTTCATCCTAACTCAGCCTCTTCAGGAACTGGCTATTGTATCCATCTGGGCACCAGCTAAATGGCTAGGGGAGGTCATTGGGTTCCTCAGGGCTGGAGCTAGAAGTAGAGCACCAACTCAGAAGCTCCCACACAGGAGAACCAAAGGAGTTAAGGTGGGATCAGCCTTACACCACAAAGACCTGAGGAGGTTTGGGTAGGCTAGGGAGAAGAAGCCCCCGATGGAAGGTCCAGGTGACTTAGGTGACTGTTGGGCTCCACACTGTTTGTGGCCCACTGTTGGGGGCTGGTCTTGGAATGGGACACAGGTGGGTCTAGCTGGCTCAAGGACCTGAGGTGAAGCCTAGGACAGCTTTTGCAGGAGTTGTGATCTGGTGAAAACCTCCCACCTGTTGGCCATGCCTGGTCAGCTGTGGGCCTGAGACATACTCTCTCTCCCCAGGTAAACAAAGCCCTGAAGCAGAAGTCAGACATCGAGCACTATCGGAACAAGCTACGCCTCAAAGCCAAGAGGAAGGGATATTACGACTTTCCACCAGTGGAGACAAACAAGGCTCAGACAGAAAGAAAAAAGATGTATGAGAAAACCCCAAAGGAAATCGAGCACGTTTTGGATCCAGACCCAGAACTGTGTGCTCCATTCGCTGAGTCTAAAAACAGGTGCAGTGTCTAAGGGCTTCTCTGATGGTCCCAGGACCGTTAGTGGGATGAGGGCAGAGGGTGCCTTGGGTAATACAGCTCTGGTCTCTTGATCTGTCCTTAGGACTGTGATCATTGCTGGCTGCTGATCTGGACCATGCTAGTCTGTGCAAGCCAGTACTCCATAATGAGTTTAGAAAAGAATAAAACTGAAGCCATTAAAAAAAAAAAATACTTGGGCAAACAACCGTAATTGTCCTTTAGCTTAATAATATTTCCAAACCAGTAGCTGTTTCAGAGATGGGTAAAGATATAATTATCACACTCCTGGTTATGCAACTTCCAGATCAAAAGACATTGTATTTTTCAATTAATTATTGGCTCTTGTGTAAGAAAAGCAAATTTTATGCCCTACCCTTTCATTCAGCATCAGTAAATACTTACCACATACCTACTCAGAGCTCTGTGCTGAGTTCATCTCTTTAATTCATAGATTTGTTCATTTATTTGACATTTATCATTACCTACTCTGTACTGGGCACCCTGCAAGCTGCTGAATACTCTCGTGGCCATGTAGGCTTTTTCTCATTCATTCATTCATTCATTCATTCGTTCATTCCACTCATTTAGCATTTTATGGTAGACAAGACAGCCCAGTCATTGCTTTTGTGGAACTTAAGGTCTGATGGGACAAAAAGATAGCTACCCTCAGAAGTTTGTTACTCGTAAGTGCAGAGGGTGTTTGCAACGTGAGGTGATATAACAGCCTAAAAGGGGGACCTGGCCTCAGAGGGAGGGTGAGGCGCAGCGGTTTGGATTGACATCTTCCCAAGCTTTGTTGCTCACTAAGCAGAGAGTGAGCGACCTCACCTACTGGTTTAGCAAAGCTAAACATCTTTCTTCTTTCCTCCCCATCCTAAAGCACCTCCTCGGAAGCATTTTCATGGTTTGAGACCATCCCTTTCAAATATACATTCTCCTTGGCAACAGCCCCTTGGCTTTGGGCGTGCCAGCTCTCCGATCCACGCCATACACAGCCTTGGCAGATCCACCCTCCACGAACCGGGTGAGACATGACAGCTCCTGCCCTGAGTGGGTATTTGTTAAAAGCACACATGACTATGTGACAGGCTCAGATGGGATCACAAGATCAAGGTGGGAGGAGGGGCCCAATTTTATTAGCAGAATTGGTATCATTTATTTATAGTAAAGGAAAGAAAGAATTCATTTACCATGCTTCTAATTAGACTTGGTGGGTCTGATCAGCTGTTGATGTAAAAATCACACTTTGACGGGGCTCACGTGTATTGTGATATAACATGTATGTGTCACCGTGTTGATAACTGTAGAAAGGAGGGAAGAAGGGTATGGATTTTATAGGAAGGCTGGTGGCTTCTTCAGCTTGTAAGCCACACTTGAGGACTTTTTAGTCAGGGGTCTTCTACAGACTGGGGCAGAGAGTTGCTTTTCCCGGGTTTTCTGCTGCCACTTGGGAAAAGAATCAAGAGTCATGTGCAAATACAAGGAACTTAGCTTGGAAGTTATTTGGGAAATACATAAAATATTTCAGTTGAAGCTTTTTATAAGGAGAGTGGACACAACTTCATTGCCATAGACCTGCATCCCCACTGCTCAGCAAAAGCTCAGGCCAGATTCTCAAGGCCCTTCGATGGCCTGCTGATGCTGTCAGTGTGTATTCCATTCTCCATAAATGTCTGTTGAAGAAGGGATTGAACAACTCTCAAAATAATGTTTAAAAAATTTTTTTAACATTATGAAGGGGAAATATGGAAGATCCCAAATTGGGTGAGGTGGGTTAGGAATGGAGAGGAGACGAATAAGGGATGGCAGTGGAAAGGGAAGGATTAACAGAGACAAAGAGAGTGGCAGTGACTTGGTAAGCTCTGAGGTGGTACTCTTTTCTTCTTCTTTTTTTTTTTTTTAAGTTTATTTATTTTGAGAGAGAGAGGGAGAGAGAGAGAATCCCAAACAGGCTCAGCGCTGTCAGCGCAGAGCCCCACACAGGGGCTTGATCTTGGGAACCGTGAGATCACGACCTGAGCTGAAATCAAGAGTCGGACACTTAACCAACGGAGCCACGCAGGCACCCCCCTGAGGTGGTATTCTTGTCACACTCTGTCGTTGACTCGAGAGGCTGCTCCTCGTGTGTGGTGTCTGTTGTCACAGGTTGGAGTTACCTGTTCATTGGTGCTCTCAGTTCAGCTCCGCAGAGGTTCTGCCCTCAGTGACGTCACCACTGCAAGGCACACGTGAGGGAATCATTGTCCGGTCCAGGGGTGACCAGGATTTTACCCTGAGACCTAAATTACATCAAATCAGAGACAGCGTTTAGATTCGAAACGTTGACTCATCCCCACCTCTTTTAAAAGAGTCCTCACAGCTTTTTCTTTAAAGTCAGAAGAACACCCCCATTTTTATGTTATAAACTCTTACCCGGAGGCACAAAGAATGTAATGTAACTGAGGCAGATGCTGGCAGAGTCCCCCCCGCTACAGATTCCCATGGCCCCCACTGCTCTGGTACATCCTACATCCAGCAGCATCCTCCTTCCTGTGAGCATCTATGACTCTGATTTGAGGGCTTTTTCTCAGCAGCCCCTGCCAGAAGTGCCACGTAGCTGATGCGCTCTGGAGCAGTTTCAGTCAATGACAGATGGGAGCCGATGGGTAAACACCCCAGCAGGAGAACTCTGAGGCGTAAGGCACACTGTTGTAATAACCACATTTTCTAGCTTTTGTATTTGACCGTTTGACTTCTGGGATCTTGCCAACTCTTAGAGAAACTGCCCCTCCCAGGGCTGTCTAGCCAATTCCTAGAGACTGGCAAGGGCTGGCCTGCAGGTGCCCCTTTTATATGTGAACCAAACAAGCCAGAGTCCATGCCCCAACCTCCTCCTTCACCAAGGGCTGTCACACTCTGGGCTCCAATCCCCCTGCCCTGACCACCTGAGGACAGGGTACCTCACAACCAGGAACAGCCCCTATGTCCCAGGGGGCTGCTGAAATTATTCCAGAAATCCAATCTGTGGCCCATTTACCCTGCCTTGCCTTCCCAAAGAAACCACAATAAAGTCTCTTGCCTTTACCTCCTACTGCCTTGTGACTGATCCTGGTGCCTCCCCATGTGGTGCCCCATGGCATGCCCCATCCCCTTGGAATTGTAAGTATAACAAACTATCTTTTCAACGGCGGTCACCTCCTGATCTGTTGGTCTTGCCATATCTAAATAAAATAAAGCCTACATTTTTTTTTTTTAATTTTTTTTTTTTTAACGTTTATTTATTTATTTTTTTTTTTGGGACAGAGAGAGACAGAGCATGAACGGGGGAGGGGCAGAGAGAGAGGGAGACACAGAATCAGAAACAGGCTCCAGGCTCTGAGCCATCAGCCCAGAGCCCGACGCGGGGCTCGAACTCACGGACCGCGAGATCGTGACCTGGCTGAAGTCAGACGCTTAACCGACTGCGCCACCCAGGCGCCCCTAAAGCCTACATTTTAATGCAACTATGCCCCATGCTTCTCCAGGAATATTGAGCCCTAGCTGCCCAAAATACTAATCTGCTGTATATCATACCCTTTATCAACCTCCTTCCTGAGAATTCTCTAGATTGAGTCCTGGCTGCCCAAAATACTAATCTGCTGTATATCATACCCTTTATCAACCTCCTTTCTGAGAATTCTCTGTCTCATTTCCCCACTTCCCAACTTGTGCTTCCTGGAATCTCTTCCCAAGTAAACCATTTGCACTCAAATCCTCACAGAGCCTGCTTCCAGGAATACCCAACCTAAGGCAATAACTTACAAAGACAGAGCTGCTCTGATGGAAGCAGGGCCTCGGCCTCCTCCTCCTCCTCGCTGGTTTATGTTCCATCCTTATGGAACCCGGGGTTTCCACAGAACACAGTTTGGGAACTACTTTCTTAAACTTTATTGTGGGATCAAAAAACCTCTGAAAATGCAAATAAAATTTATCACTATCTGTGCAGCAGTATTTTCAGAGGTAAAAAACTTTGCAAGTTTCAAAATGTATTAACTTTTAAAGAATATAGCAAAATACAAACAAGAAATGAATGTATCTAATGGAACTCCATTAGAGACGTAATTCCTCTACCAAGAGCCTAATTTATTTCTAAGTAGTTGCTTACACACCAGGCACACATTAGTGGTCTGCTCAATTGAGATCCATGTTAAATAGCAGCCTTTAGGCTGGGTATCATAATGGAACACTGTCTTTGATGGAAAAGGAGACTGGAGTGCACCCCAGTGTCTAAGTACTCACCCACATTCATGGTTCTTGAAAGGGCTCACAGTCTCGCTATTGTATTTCTAATACTTCCAAAACAGCCTACTTAAATGTCAATTGCTAATCCTAGTATTTACTGCCCCCCCACACACACCCTTATTAGTAAATCTTTTCTAAATGGGCTAATTGGCAATCTCAGTACAGTTGTGAAGCCTGCTTTTTTAAAAAGTGATTTGTAATTAGGTCAAGGATGAGAATTCTTTGGGATCTGCCTTAAAGTGTGAATCACTCTGTATCACAAGGTCGTGTTCCATTCCTAAAGGAAGCTTCTAATTGCAGATAACGACAGGGCAGTTTATACTATTAGGTTTAAGCTCCTATATTAGTCAGGATTCTTTTGGTTGCAAATGATGGCAACCCAGCACCAACTGGTTAAATACAAAGAGAATTCATCAGTGAATGTGAAAGGTCAAGACTTCAGGCATGACCGGATCCAAGGGGTCATACAACGTCCCCCCTTTTTGGCTTGCCCTCTCATCACTCTTAGCTGGTTCCTCTTCAGGCTCTTGCCTCATAGTGGAAAACTGGCTGCCAGCAATTTTTGGCTTATATCCTGTCCTCTTAGAAACTTCAATGCCAAGAGAATGCCTCTTTCCTGGTTGCTCTGGTGAAAGCCCTGAGACTCAGTCTCATTAGACCAACTCACATGACCACCCTCTAACCGATCATTGTGGCCATCGGGATGTGATGCTTGATTGTCCAGCCTGAATCACAGGCTAACCACAACAGGAAGGATAGCCTCCAGAGAACATCATAGTGCTGTCACCAAAAGAAGGTTAACATGGGTATCAGGCAAGCAGAGATCACAGAGGCTCTCTAAACACATGTAAGCTCCTCATAGTGAGGGAGCAGGCCTAATAATGTCTATTTTATCCCCTAGGCCAATTGCAAGGGTAGTGTTTCACCTTGGGAATTCTAAGGGCTATTCTAGACTAATAATAGCATGTGACTCTCATGCCATCACTAACTGGGTGTGTGATCATGAAGAGGTACATATATGTATACCTGCCAGGTTTCTGGCTCCCCGCATAGTCACTGGGAATAAAGAATGTGACCTCTTCACCTTTAACCCATGAATGGATAGAATCTTGGAACGGAGACATAAAATAGGTGGTGTTTGGGGAAGTCTCTGAAAATAGATGCTCTGAAGTGCCAGTTATTCACAGGGAGAAACCGATTGTTGGATGACAGGGCAGTAGCCACCTTTGTCACTCAGCAGTGTCATGTGAAACCGCCTACCCCCATCAGGCCTCACTCCCCACTTGTAAGAGTTGCCTCTTCAGGAAGAAAAGCGCAGCCACAACCCTCATGGTGTTCCTGTTCCTTCCTCTTCAAAAAGATGCCTCAAATGGCAAGTGTAGGCAGACAATGGTGACAAATGTATGCATTTCCTGAGGGAGCTGAGGGGAGCCTCTCAACATGCTATGCCCTGGGCCTGGAATGTTCTGTGTAGGATTGGCATGTGGCTGGCTCTATTTAGGTCTCAGGTGAACTGTCCCCCTCTCTATCCTATCTAAAGTTGCCCCCGTTTTAGCCATCCTCTGTCACATCATCTTTTTCTTTTTTTATTTTCTTTTCTTAAGTTTATTTATTTTGAGAGAAAGAAAGAGAGAGAGAGCACGAATGGGGGGAGGGGCAGAGAGAGAGAGGGAGAGAGAGAAACCCAAGCAGGCTATGTAATTAACACAGAGCCCAATGCAGGGCTCGAACTCACAAACCACAAGATCATGACTTGAGCTGAAACCAAAAGTTGGACACTTAAATGATTGAGCCACCCAGGCACCTGCATATTATTTTTCTTGATAGCACTTACCACCCTCTGAAATATTGTGAATTGTCTGTCTCCCTCATTAGAATGTAAGCTCCAGGATAGCAGGGCCATGTCTGTCTTGCTCACCGTGGATCCTTATCATTTTCCACAGTGCCTAGCACATGGTAGGCATTTGGTAAATATTGGATGGATGGATGGATGGATGGATGGATGGATGGATAAGCTCCAAACTGCCTCTTGGTTTACGGCTCCTCAGACCAGAAAGGAATCCACTGGGGGAAAGGTAGAAAAGAAAATCTATCAGTATTTACAGTATTAAGTGGCCCATTAGCCACAGGATTTATTAACACATCATGAAATCCTGCCTGTGAAATCAGAAAGATTAAGAAGAACAGCAGGCTAACTGAGTCAACAGTCAACAAAAGCAAGTTTGTTCTCCAGCATTTGCTGTCCTGGAGGGTCAGGTCAAGGGAGAGTCCCCGGCCTTGCCATCAGCAGCATTTTAGATGAGGTTGTAGTGTTGCAATTGATTATAGTTACTGAGTTTCCATTAGAAGAGTATTTACAATTCAGCCAAATGCTTATAGCATCTAGGAAAACAGAAACAAAAACAGAAACAATCTTTTATTCCACTATTCCTATGGCCTCTGATGGTCGGAGAGCAAATAGCATGAATTCTGAGATCTGCAAGGCAAATCCAAACCCTTCATTGGTTGCCTGTAGTTTGGATCAGTGGAGAATTCCATCTGTCAGGGCATTTGCTGCATCATAACAGTTGTTGGATTTTCTTCAGGCAACAGATGAAGAACTCTGTCTACCGAAGCCGGCAGTCTCTGAATAGCCCGAGTCCTGGGGAAACGGAGATGGACCTTCTGGTGACTCGGGAGCGACCCCGGCGTGGAATCCGTAACAGCGGATACGATGTAAGTGTCTGCTGGGCCAAGGTGATTATAGGCTTTGCTTTCCCATAAGAGCAGCAGAGATAGAGCACCCCAAAATGTTTCACTTCACTATATATTTGTGGAATTTAAAAGTGCACTAAAATGTTTTCTCTTTCATTATTTGTTACTACCTCTTTTGCAAGTAAGACTACTTGGAATGTGTCAGAGTAACAAATTACGGCTAAAAGGATTCTGATTTCTGAATCCAACCATTTTATGAATAGTACAATATTGATCTTAAGTCAGTAGTGTTTCTAAATGTTCTTAATTTTTTCCCCTCTGTCCTTAAAACTCAGTAGGAACCACGGCTGTGAGTTAGAATTCATTTGAACACAGGCTTCTTTTAATCCATAGCAGTGTTGAGAAGTTGGATTGGTTCCTGATTTCATAACTCCTCAATATGCCATAGAAACCATGAGATGTCCAACGGAGTGATTTGGTGATTTCATATGATGAAGCCCATGCTTATGTTCAGTGATGTCTCCAAACTGAAAAAATTGTTCTAACCCCATCGAACTTCCCAGATGAGAGTTACAGTGTGGTGCCTCACATCCAGCCGCTCACATCCTGTTAACGTAGTTGTACCCCTGATCATACATGAATGCGACTCTGGTGGAGGCATTCAGGAATGCTTCACCCTACCCCAGGATTTCAGATGGCCTTAAATCTACTCTTAGGTTTTATGAAAAAGGTTTCTTTCCCATTCTCCTAAAATATTTCTCTAATTACAAATAAGGTTTTTTTTGTATCAAGAGTTATGATTCAAAAATGTCTGGATACAGTTTTGTTATCATCTGTGAGATTGTGATTTGCAAATGACACTCGATTTCTTAAATATACCATGCTGATTTGAATACCAAAAGATTTTTCCCCCCTCAGGATTGGCCATTGTTTGCCACTAAATCTTTAGGTGGGATTTAGGTGCCACAAAATCTTTAAGTGGGATTTTAGTGATTCCATTAAAAACAAATATTCTGCCTAATTTGAATTTCTGGTTACCTTACATTCAAACTTGACATTTGTGTTAGTGGTAATAATCTTTTATTTCTGTTTTTCTTTTTTGTATAAAACAAATTCATAGTTAATTTTATAAAATTCCAGATGCTTTGGGCAAACCTTTTCTTTTCCTCCAGGTGAAATTTTCCAACGTTGATTTTTCTCCTCATAAGAATATTTTTTATTCCAAACTCGGCCAACAATTTGATAATCAGCCAGTGGTTAAAAATCAGGTATTTGAGTTTTCCAGCTAATCTCTCCCTACGAACAGTGAATATCTTTCCTACATGCTTATAGTTTCAGGGACTCCTTTTGCTCGGGCATTCCTGAGGTATGATAGGATTCTTAAACATTTTTCAAGATTGGAAATAAATAGGCATCTTGTGAGAGTCTAGGCACAGACATTTTTACAGTTTGGGGAAATAGGGCAGAGATTTGCCTACTAGTCTTGAAAAGAGGACAGTGCAGTTGTTGTTGTTGTTTAACTGCTATATGCCATGACTTGCCGTGCTGACTTCATACTTTTAGACCGCCACGTTAGTACATGACTTACAACAACAGAAGGAAGGAGGTGATATTTAAAAAGAGGTTGCTCACCCCTCACACTTGTATAAATATTCCAATTATAGATTGCTTTCAGGGAAGCCCTCTTCATTCTCATCGATTTTTCTTAAATATACATGTCTTGAGAATTGCATATCATCTCAAAAGCATAAGCAAAGATAAGTTTCCTTAAGACAAAACGATCACCAAGGGACCAATTTTAAGAATTTAGACTGTTGTCTGGAAGAATGCAGTTTGCTTCCTGTTTCTCCTCCTGTGCCTTTTGCTCTGATCACACGAAAAGCACCTCTCATTTATTGACTGCACACAGTAGACCAGCCTCTATTCTAGTCAGTCTTTTTATGTGAATTATCTAATTGAATTTGTACAGACGCCAGTGAGGTAGGAACCCTCCCTGCACCCATTGTATAGATGAGGAAACCCCGGCACAGAACAGTTGCATCATTTGTCTCCCCAACTCCCAGAGCCCATCCTCTTAACCGCTGTGCAGTAGGACTTCCATATAAACCCACCGCACTATCTATCTGCCTTCACATGACGTAATACGTATCCTGTGTCTCTGATCTCACCAAGAGGCTGGATGTCAGGTTTCATAAGAATCCTTGCATGGATAACTCATACCAGCAAACAATAGCCCGGCTGATAAAGTAGGAAAAGAAGACAGTCATAGCTTTTCTCAACTTGATTTTCCAAAAATGCCAGGGCACTCCTGACAAAAGAACCCATTAGCCCAGCAGTGAACAGGTCATTCGGTTGGAAGCATGTCCTTCTTCCTACTGGGTCTGGGGATCTTGAAGCCAGGCCAAGATTTCCAGTCATTTCTGCCAGATTAGGGAACACCAGGGGGACTGGCTCCTTGACATGATAGAAACAGAAGCAGTGGGAGATTGATTTAATTTCTCCAAAGCTGACTACATTAGAATCCCAACAAGAAAGCCTGGGTGTAAAAATAAATTAGTAAATAAATAAATAAATAAGCAAACACACACACTCGCAACACAGGCAAATCTGAGCCCCGGGACTGATGGCAGCCTGGATTGTTTCAAAATGTTTCCATAGAGCAGGATGTGTTGGGGCCTGCACAAGAGACAATCAGCTCCAAGGGCTTTGGGAATCTCTATGTTTTGCAGCAACAATTCTTAACCTCTTTGTCCCCCCTAACAGCTAAGGGATGCAACACACTCCTGGCAGTCACTGTGGCTCACTTGGGTAGTAATTTTCTAGGAGTAATTTTCTAAACCCCATTAGACAAAATGCATAATTTTAGAAAGATGTCCCAAACTGATCACTGCTAAAAGGCCAGACCATATCTTTAAACTAACTTTGGCATTGAAATGAATTCCTCCCAGTGCATAAAGCAGGTAGAAAAAAAAGTCACCTTAATATTTAAAAGCAAAAATGCATCTGTTTCAAAGTATTTTTCTAAATGTTATTTTCTGAATGCAAGTCATGGAGAAAATAACGAGGTGATGAGGAGGGAAAAGAAAATGCCCCAAATGTGAATGATCAGGTAGAATAAAGACCCAAGTGATCTTCCCTATGTCAGCCAAATTAGTAATCCCTTTATGTGGTTGAGGAATCAACCTTTGCTTCCAAAGGACAAGGAATAATCATATTGTTCCCCCTGACATAAAAATACACATCCTCAACCTTGATTTGTGTTTGGAGTTTTAAAAAATGTGACAGAAATGGGGTCAGGTATACATGTGCCTTGGCAATGAGGGAGACTCTGGAACAGAACGTTTGAACTATAACTTTGAAAATGAATGCCCACCTCTCAGAAGCAGAGACCTTTACAGGCTCCTTCTCCTCAGGTTTCTCTCCAGCACCTTGCCCAAGCTCCACACCCTGGTGGTCCTCAGAGAGCCTTCATGGTAAACCCTAACATGTGGCTGAAGGGTTTGAAAATGTTGAGGATGACTGGTCCACTGATGCCTCTCAGAAGAGGTGGTGTTGAAGGTTCTGCTGTCAGGGCACAGCCACCAGTCATTCCAGGGGTGTTCTCCAAGGAAATGTGTGGAAATGTTAGTGACAGCCAGATGGCTTTGCAATTGAGAAGTACATGTAAATCTATAATAAGAGGTACAATATCAGGCAAGATTCTGCTGCAGAAAACAGAAAACATCAAGCCATTGGAATAGGCCAAAAATGACTGTGCGGAGTTAGGCGCTCACAAAACCTTTGGAGGGCTGGCAGTGTGTTCTGGGAGAGACTGAGAACAGAACCCCAAGGCTGGCCCTGACCAGGGCCGGCTGCCTCTGCCCCCAGCAGGACGGTGGGGAGGTGGTCTGCCCTGGGACAACCAGGGAGCAGAAAGACGGGCTCTGGCTCATTTCCTCGGCCCAGCCTGCACATCAGTGCACCTCACTGACAGAACCCCGTGTCCTGCATAGCCACCGCCGCGGAGAGGGCCCCAAGCGAGCATGGGCCTGTCAGCCTGGCACTGGAGGAGCACCCGCGGCAAGGAGGTTGTGGAATGCTGGCTGCCATCCCCACAAGTGAGAGATGCGATGAGAATTACCAGCCAGAGCAATATTTGGGGAGCGGTGGGGAGACTAGTGGAGGCACGTTTGGCCAAGGGGAAGATGAAAGCATCACTCAGAGCTTAGTCCCCAGCCTCTGGCTGAAGGCGTGGGTGTGCTGTGTCGTGTGTAATAGGGCTTTTATTTGCTGGCGTCTCTCAGCTCACAGGGCAACCAGCTCCCTTTGTGTCAGGTGAACGGTGGTTACTAGAAAGAAAGGAGGCCAAAGAATCAGAGCAGTTGTTTTGATGGGTTCCATCTGCAGCGGAATGAAATATGATCTGGAAAGCCCCGACTGCCTGTAACAGTTCGTAGCAAGTCTGAGGCCTTCTAGGGAAATTTGTCAATCCTATATTATTAATGGAAGCCTCTCCTCCTCACTCCCCAGCACATCGCCAGCATCTTATGGCTTTGGGATGATGGTCAGAAACCAAGGAGACTAGTGCTGCTTGGTGTTCCCAGTTAAGGGGTGGCCAACTCTTGGTTTCATCGGGAGGCAAATGGGTGGATTTGAGCATTTTGTTTGTTATGCTCTGAACTGGGTGCTCTCGTGTCGACCCCACCCTCACCGCCATCACCCTCTCCGCATCCAAGCTGGGACTGTATTACCTGTGTCCTCCCAAATCAGCCTTTAATCTCTTTCGCCTACCTCTGCCAGCTAGCTTAAGCTGTTAATAAGCCTGGCTTGATACATTGTCTCAAGTTAATTTATGCCATATTATATTTTATCGGGGGGGCTTTTGATCCTAAGGATAATAAGAAACCAGTCCCCCAGAGGGTGCTTAGGCAGCTCAATTGGTTGCGCATCTGACTCTTGATTTTGGCTCAGGTCACCATCCCAGGGTTGTGGGATAGAGGCCTGCATTGGGCTCCATGCTGAGTATGGAACGTGCTTAAGAT